ACCAAAAAAAAAAAAATACAGTTTACAGTCAATGAGTCCTAGGCAACTGGCAGGCTGGTGTGTCAGCAGTGGTGACAGGAACAGGCTGATAGGGATTTCTGTTTGGCTTTCTAGGAGACCCCAACCAAAGAGCTGGGGCAGTGTGGAGGGGAAGCTCCCAGCCCTGGGCCCAGCAGCCCAGCCCCCACCTCGGGCTTGCCCTACCTGAGCAGGTGCATGAACTCTGAAAGCTCCACCGACGAAGAAGGTAGCTTGCTTGGCTGGTATAGAGGAAATGGGAGGTAGGGCTGGGGCGGTATGAGCATTTCCAGATCATGGTGCTCCCTGCGTGTGACCACCTCCGTTAGCTTGAAGTGTAATAGGGATGTCCTGTTGGCAGGTGGTGGCTTTGAATGGGATGATGACTTCTCCCCAGATCCTTTCCTGTCCAAGACAACCAGCAACCTCCTGAGCTCCAAGCCCACCCTGCAACCCTCCAAGTACTTTTCCCCACCACCGCCCACCCGCAGCACCGAGCAGAGCTGGCCACACGTGTCACCCTGCTCCAGGTTCTCCATCTCCCCTGCCAACATCGCCAGCTTCTCACTTACGCACCTCACCGACTCGGATATGGAGCAAGGAGGTAAGGGACACCGACATGGGGTGGGAGGCCTAAGCTGCAAGGAGGGGGAGACTCGAAGACCTGGTCTCAACTGCCTGGCCGTCTAAAGGATTCCGGGTCAGTGCTGAGTAGATTATAAAGGGATTTTATAAAACTCCATCTTAGCAGCCAGGCACTTTTGTCTCCCACCTGTAATCCCAGCTACTCAGGAGGCTGAGATCTGAGGATCATGGTTCAAAGCCATCCGGGGCAGGAAAGTCTGTGAGACTCTTACCTCCAAGGAATCACCAAAAAGCTGCAAGTAGAGCTTTAGCTCAAGTGGTAGAGCGCTAACCTTGAGCAGAAGAGTTCAAGGACAGCATCCTTGCCCTGAGTTCAAGCCCAATATCAGCACAAAACAAAAACAACCAAAAGAAACCATTCCATCTTGACAGTACTTGGGCCCCATCCCCACTTTTCCAGCTGCAGGAGGGCCCATCACAACCGCCTCCCTATTAGCCCAGCTCCGGAGCTCCACTAGTTCCCTGGGGGTACTCTTATCCACCTTGATTTCTTCTGTTCCCTTTTTTTAGAGCCCCGCACCCCAGTCTCACTTTTTCCCAGAGAAGTCCTTCAGAGGTGCATGCTCCTTGAATACTTGAGCCGAGGGCTTGGACATGTGCCCTGGTGCTCACCAGCTCTTCCCTGGCGGTGTTGACTTTGCCATTAACTCCAGGTCCCTGAGATAGCAGGCTAGTGTGAGCCGTGAGCAGGCGCATGTGAGGTGCAGGGCTGCGCAGCTGGACCTTTCCCCATACCTGGACGGAAGATAACTTAATGGGAACAGCCTTTTATTTGAAGTTTGCAGATCAAACAATAAATACGGAATAGAAAGAGCTCTTATTTGTTTTTGTATGGCTTCACTTGTGCCGATGAGATAGTGCTGGCCTGGCCATGAGCAGGCAGGTGTGCAGGTGGGTCCGCTCTGCCTCTGCTCTGAGCCTGGCCCTGGAGCCCAGGAGAGCCGCACAGCTGAAGTACAGGGCCGGGCAGCCAGGCACCTGCTGGCCTCAGCTCTGCTCACTCAGAACCTAAAGCTACCCCTCACCCCTTGTCCTCTCCCCAAACAGGAAGCAGCGAAGATGGAGAAAAGGACTAGGTGGCTGTGGGTACCAGTGGACTCCTGCATGTCAGCCAGCGCCACGACATCCACTTGACGTGGGCTGCCACGGAGCGGCCAGCAAGGAGGACTTGGGAGATGCGAGGGGGGCTAGTACCTCCTGCCGTGCCCCCTCCTTCCTTCCACCCTGCCCCTGGGCGGGGCCCTGCGTCCCACCCGTGCGACACTCTGCCTGGATGTGGGTGGCACATTGAGGCCCAGGATGGTGACGAGTGAGCCATATTTATTGTTTCTAAGGATGTCACTACTTGCTGTATAGAGGGTCGTGTACGCATGCGTGCTGTGCGGACCCTAGGCCTTCTGTCGGGACGCCACTGGCCCATCCCTGCTCAGACTTTTGCTCTGCATGGCATTGTGAAGCTCCCGAGTCCTGAATGCCCGCTGTCTTCAGAGCCGTCGAAAGTGGACATACGGTACTGAGGGGGGATTCACTCTGGATGTTAGCATTTGATGTCCTTATAGGAAATATTTTTGATGAATCCCCAAATTCTGCTGTTTTGTTGATTGACTCCAGCGCCCTTCCCCTCTCTAAAGCCGTTTCCGCCCCGGCCGGGTTTCAAGCCCTCCTGATGAAAAGCAGCAGCAGGCGTACCTGGAACTCTGCTGGCCTGGGCCCCAGGTGTGGAGGCAGGGCAGCCAGCATGGCCCCTGGGTCTCCCCTCTGCCCTACGCAGCCCCCCGAAGACACCACCATTTCGGGCACCTGGACTGGAGCTCTTCAGATTCAGAGCTGGATGCCCCCCTCGGAAGCACTTGCAGTGAGAAGAGGGGTGAGGACCTGGCTGTCCACCCAGCCCCCCTCACTGTGAAGGGGACTGCATGGCTCCAGAGCTCTTCACCTGTCCTTAGCTGGACAGGGCATCCCTCACAGGGCTGACCTTGGATTCAGCTCCGGTGTAAGGTCTCTGGAGGCTGATGCAGAGTTGCTGCCCTGTGCCCACTGGGTGGGTCCCCTCACATGAGCCCTTCACCCAAATAATCTCCGGTGCTGAGCTGCTTTCCAGACTCCAGCAGGACCCTGGGTGACATGAGGCCCTCAATGTGTGTGCTGTCCCTGGGAGAGACCCAGTCTCTGTGCAGGTGTGGGCCGTGGAGGGAGCTTACATGACCCTTGTTACCAGTTGTTTTGCTCTACGGGTTTCTTTTATACTAAGCAATAACCTTGCAGAGCAAGGAGATTGAGAATGGGGATAGGGTCTTGGGCCAGGCCCACAGGGCCTTGTGAGAGCTCTGCTGGAAATGGCATTTGGAGGCGATGTTGCCAAAACTGTCATCTCTCTCCGTTTCTGGCTGCAGATTTCCTGACTTTTTTTTGAATCTTTACCTCTGCCAGTCATCATTGAGAGAGATGAGAGATGTTTTCAGATGATGGGTTTAAAGATTCGGATGGATGAACTTACAGGCTCTATCGTTTATACAAGCAGTCCAGGATGCATTCACAGATACTACAGGACTGCAGTTTTCACAATGTTAAGGCAATTTTAACCACATAATTCGCATTTTTATTTAATGCTTATCACTCACACGATTGCCAAAATAAAAGCATTTTATAGCTGTCGGGGGAGCTCGTGTGCCGTTGCGTGGAAGGGGGCTTTCCAGTGCTATCACCCCCGAGGCAGCGGCTTCTGTTGAAATTGCAAGCAATACTGAGAAATTTGAACAGATTTAAAGTTCAGTCTCTGTTTTGAAATGTCAGCATGGGTTCTGTTGCTTTGACCAGTGAGTTGGTTACCAGTAGTGGATCTGCACACATCCATTCTCAGTAAGCTGTGTGGTGCAGCATGCCAGTGAGATCTGTGGATAATGCGGGAAGATGTTTCTAATCCCTGCTTCACTGATTTCCTGGCTCCTTTTGGTAGCCCACAGCAGACAGCAGCTGGAGTTCGTGCATTTTGAATTCTGTACTCCAAGTAACTTTTGATTTTGTTCCTAGATCAGTGCTGATTTTTGTGCTGTGTCCACTGACCCCATCAGGGGCCAGGAGGGGTAGGGGCTTCCGGTCCTTCTGGGACTCAGACCCCATGTCTAGGCCAGGAGCCATTTACCTTTCAAGATGAAAGATGAACCAAGCTGAATTGAAAACAGAGCACCCCATTCTATTGTTTCTGTTTTTTGGGTTTTTTTTTTTAATGATTCCAACCCCTTCTCTCCCCTGCACCTTGCCGCCCCAGCACCCATTCTGTTTTTAAGTGTACAGGCCCAACTTCCTTCAGAGATGGATTTAAGGAAAGCCTTTCCATGTATTGGTACCCCAGGCACCTTTCACACCTCCTCCTTCCTATTTCCCATAGGGTGTTTGTAGAATTAATGACCTACTGCATGTCTGTCCAGAGGGCCAGACGGAAGCGGGGCCACAGCTCCCTTTCCTCCACTCAGCCTGTCCCCTGAGCGTGGAGATGCCAAGCAGGTGTCACACTGCAGAGAAACAGCCAGCATTCAAGTAAAGAAAGCCGTGTGCACACACCTTCCCTCAGACTTACGTCTCAAAACCATATTCCTAAGCAGCAGTGGGCTTGGTGCTGGCTAGTGTACACATGTGGGTGCGTGGGGGGAGGGGGGGACAGAACACGTGCTGTGAAGCTGTGGGCAGTGGGACTGGGGTGGTGACCTGTGGGGACACTTGTCCCCGCCAGCTGGCACCTCACACAGCCAGAAGAGGTTCACAGCAATATAACCTTGAGTTTCAATTGTGTACATTTTTAAATTGTAAGATTTTTACTGTATATTGATACATAGTGTGATTCAATAAATTGCTTGTAATTTAAAAAAACTATTTAATATTCAAAATAAATATAGTTATATATTTATAAACGGTTGCTGTATTGCATTCCACATTTTTCCCCTTGTCGGGGAGGAAGGGAGGCCGGAGCTGGTTCCATTTCTCAATCTCCCACAGGCCTGAGGAAAAAAAGGTAAACATTTGTAGAATCCTGGAACCCTGTAGCCCAGGGCTGCTGGAATGTGTGTGATGGGAAGTGAGCCTTTGCGCATGGCTGTTTTTAATCCTGGGCCCCTTGCGAGCCCCAGCCTCAAGAAGCCCCAAGCCAAGAGGTGGCTCCACTCACAGACAGCTGTTCCATGTGGAATAGGAGTACCTGAGGCTCCTGCTTGCTTTCCTGGTCCCTTGCTGAGGTGCAAATGGCCAAGAAGGAAGTGACAGCTTCCTGCCCCAACCACAGCCCACAGGGCTGGCTCCTAACCCCCAGATCACGGGTGACTGTCAGCCAGTGTCCAGGCACCAAAGATGTGGCGGCGTGACCCATAACCAGGCCGGCCATGGGAGAGCTCACCCCAGATACTCTTGGTTCCAAGACAAGCCTTCCCCTCTCCACTGCAGTACTGGATTATGAACTCAAGGCCTTGGACTTGCCAGACAGGCAAGTCCCTTGATCCACACCCCCCACTCACTCCCTTCTGCTTTCCTTATTTTTCAGTTAGGGTCTCCAGTTCTTTTCCCTTGGACCTGGGTCCCATCTATATCCAATCATAGCTGGGACCACAAGGGTGCACTATGATAGCCAGCTTGTTCATTAAGAAGGGAGGGGGCAGAGTATTAATAACTTTTTTTTTTTTTTTTGTCGGTTGTGGGGCCTGAACTCTGGGCCTGGGCGCTGCCCCTCAGCTCTTCAGCTCAAGGCTAGCACTCTACTATTGAGCCACAGCACCACTTCCGGCTTTTTTTTTCTGCTTATGTGGTGCTGAGGAATAGAACCGAGGGCCTCTTTAATGCATGCAAAGTAAGCACTCTACCACTGAGCCAGAGCTTGTTTTAAGCTTGAGTTGTAACTTTTTGCTCTGGATAGCCTCAAGTCCTGGCCTTCCTGATCACCACCTGAGGGGCAGGGATTACAGGCAGGAGACACCAAGCTCAGTCCCTTAATCACCTTTAAAGTGGAGAAACAAGCCGATCCAGTGCAGCAGGGAGGTGACAGAGCTGGGTTTTTGTTTTGTTTTTGTCTTGGTTTTTTTGTCAGTTGTGGGGCTTGAACTCTGGGCCTGGGCACTGTCTGTCCCACAGCTCTTCTGCTCAAGGTTAGCACGCTACCATTTGAGCCACAGCACCACTTCCAGCTTTTTCTGCTTATATGGTGCTGAAGAATTGAACCGAGGGCCTCATTAATGCATGCAAAGTAAGCACTCTACCACTGAGCCAGAGCTTGTTTTAAGCTTGAGTTGTCTCCCTCACGAGACGCGGAGATCACCGGGCCCAGCCCCTCCTGGGCAGCCCTGGTCCTGGGCCCTTTTTTTTAGGAGCAGAGGGGTCTGCAGGAAAAATCATGGGGGGGCATTGACAGGCAGGAGGAGTCTGGGCCCTTAGTTGCTATCCAGGAGTTGTGGCCACAGTGCATTTAAGATGACTCACGGTGTGGCTAACCACAAGGCCAGGTGGGGTTCTGGGGATCCCCCCCCATCAGTCCCCAGGGGACCCCAGAGAGACCTCTGGGCGCCCAGGGCTCTGAGCCAATCTGGCTACAGCTGGCGGGTCGGGAGGAAGGGGGCGGGGCCGCCCACCGCCGCAGGTGCAGACCCGCCCAGGCCCCGCCCACGGCCTTATTTACATACGTCAGCGGTCCGGCCCCGGGTGGCTAAAGCGACGTGTCCTTGTCCCCCGTGGGCAGGCTCTGTGCGTGCAGCCGCGGATCCCCAGGTAACCAGGGACTGAGGGAGGGAGGGGGGCTCAAGAGGGGCGGCAGGGAGGGGACCAGAGGCAGGGCTGGGTGGGGACTGGGGCAAACCCAGGTGGTGGCCACAGGGAGCGCCCCCCACTCCCTGCAGGCAGGGGCCCTCCACGTGGTGGGACTGGGGGCTGTGGCCGGGGCCCTGGCAACTGCAATCTCTGACCTGCGACAGCTGCTCAGAGGCTCAGGCCTCAGTCCTGTCCCCTTGTGTGGCATCCAGTTGGGCTGGGCAGGGAGTGTGCCACCCCATGTGCTGGGGGCAGACGCACAGGGTTGGTTGGGATCCAACACTGGACAGTCTAACCAAGTAAAATGTCAAAGGCAGTGGAGGACCTGGGAACAAGGGGTCAGTCAGTGTGAGGCTCCCCCTCCCCAGAGAGAGAGAGAGCTGGGAAGCAGGGGGAGTGTGGGGGGAGTCCTGTGAGATCAAGCAGGTGTGAGGCATTCCTAAATCAACTGGGGCCACCAAGCAATCCACTCTCAGGGGCCACTGAGCCCACTACATCCTCCAGGCCACCGGTGGGACAGCCACTGTACTGTCACTGTCCCTACCGGCTGACCACAGAGTGACTTGTGTTCTGGCCTTGTTTCTAAGGGCCACTCACCTCTTGGGTCAACCATTCCAGAACCATGAAGACCAAGAACCGGCCCCCGCGGCGCCGGGCACCGCTGCAGGACACAGAGGCCACCCCTGAAGAGAGGACTCCTGAGAGGTCTCAGGCAGGCTCAGGGCCAGAGCTGACCAAGGGTCTGAGGAACAGGGCAGCCAAGGCAGCAGGGGCACGGGCCGAGGTGGCAGGGCGGCGGCGACAAGGACCAGGTGGCCGGCGTGACAACAGCATCCAGCGGCGGCTGGAGAGCAATGAGCGGGAGCGCCAGCGGATGCACAAGCTCAACAATGCCTTCCAGGCCCTGCGTGAGGTCATCCCGCACGTGCGGGCTGACAAGAAGCTCTCCAAGATCGAGACGCTCACGCTGGCCAAGAACTATATCAAATCGCTGACCGCCACCATCCTCACCATGTCTAGCGGCTGCCTGCCCGACCCGGCATCCGGCCCGAAACTTTACCAACACTATCAGCAGGCCACTGGGGGCGCGCTCGGAGACACTGAGGCACAGCCGCAGGGCCATCTGCAGCGATACTCCACGCAGATCCACAGCTTCAGAGAGGGCAGTTAGCGCCAGGCCCCGTGGGAGGGTGGCAGGGGTGGCTGGCCCTGTCCACCCCAGCCCTCGCCCTCCACTCCTCCAGGCTGTAGCCCCCGGGAGTGCCATTTACCCTGACCACTCAGCCTGGAAGACCTTCTCCTGGCCACCCAGGGGCCAGGCCAGGAATCTGGTGAAGGCAGCTCAAGGCCCTGAACTCAACTCTGGAGCAAATACCAGGCCCGGTTGTCACTGCATGAAGCCTGGACAGGTGGGAGAGACCCTCGCCTGCCTAACTAAATTCTCTCCACTTGGGCTGACAATGGGACACAAGGGAAGATTATTTGTGAATTTCCTGTTGTGGTGAGGCCCGCATCATAGCCCTGGGATCAGCTTTCTCGTCTGGGGTAAACTAAGGCTTGAAGTGAGCAGGGCAAAGCTAACCCCAATTAGATAACCTGAAGTTCTTTCCAAAAGATATCTGGGGGGTGGCCAGGCACCCCCCCCCACAGTGGGTGTGTTAGAGAAGGTTGGCAGTGTACCTGGCCACCGAAGGCCTGCATGCCCTGGCATAGGAGCACCCTGGAGTGGAGATGGGACTGGAAACAAAGTGAAGTGTCCCTCCCCATGCAAGAAGAGGGTTGGATTTGTCCCTGGCCTGGCACAGGCTCCCACCCTGGCGAGGCTCAGATGTGAGGAGCCTTGGCACAGGGCGGTCTGATGGGACTGTTCTTGGCCCTGTTTGAGTTGGAGGCCTTCGGCACTTCCTGGCAGGTGGAACCTGGGATTGGCAGGAACTGAACTCCCCCACCTGGTGCTGCTCCAAAATGCCAGGGAGCCAGGGGCTTGGCAGGCCCCCACCGCCTTGGACCCAGCTTCCTCCTGGCGGGTCCTTCCTGTCCCACTGGCTCTGCTGGACTCAGCCACTTTGCTGTCAATGCTTGCTGGTGTCTCCCTGCGCCTATTGTTCTGCCCAGAGCTGTCCCAGAGTTCCCAGGGGCCGGTCCCTTCCTGAGGTGAGGGCCTAGCTAAGCCAGGAAAATAGTTGCCAGTGCAGAGTTCTCCTCTCCAGCCCCCAATTTGCAGCTTTACCTTCCCTAAGTCTGGAGGAGGCATGGCACTAGCCACTGAAGGCGGCTGCAGGCTGGGGGAGGGGAGGTCACAGCTAGCTAGCAGGGTGGCAGGTGGCAGCCTGCAGGGCAGGCCTTGGCCACCTTGCTTATCTAGAAAGCAGGCCTCAGCCCAATGATCCCCCAATTTTTTTCCCTTGTTTTTAGGGGTACTAGTTTTGAACTCAGGGCTCATGCTTGTTAGACAGTTGCTCGACCATTCGAACCACATTTCCAGCCCTTTTCTTTTGCTTTACTTTTTCTAAAAGCATTTTGTGTTCTCTGCCCAGAGCTGGTTTAATACTGCGATACTCATACCTACACCTCACTCACACATAGCTGGGATTACAAGCATGAGGCACTGTGCTTGGCTTTAGTCTCTCTCTCTTATTGGGGCTTCTATGCCCTTCTTGCCAGTCGCAGAGACCTGGTCTGTCCCAGTTCTGCAGGTGTCCTTTGTCATGGCTCAGGTGGGGGCCTCACCATGGTGGCCAGTGGAGGGTCCGTGGGAGCCAAGACTGAGCTCAGGACAATCAGAGCTCAGGTGGAAAATCAGGGAGCCGCCAATCTAGCAGTTGTTCCAAGCTGTTTGACCCTAAACTTGTGGAATGTGGTGGCACTGGGGACAGGGAGGGATGAGTGGAGGGGTCCCACATTGCCCAACAGCTGGCCATAATCCAGGACTGCTCAGGATCTCTTACCCTGTCTCAAGGCTTGCTCCTTGTGGCCCCAGCTGACCCTTGTGCCCTTAGGCACCAAGAGGAGGGTCCAGTCCTCCTCCTGCGGCCCATGGGGATCTGCATGCCCTGTGGCCCATCATGAAGGGTGGCCCCGGACCCGTGGAACTGCCCACTGGTGAGGTCCGGGTCACCCACTGGCCATGGGTCCACCACAGTCCTTGAGGGCCAACTCCCCAATTCCAGCAAACAAACCAGAACTTGACCTTCTGAGAAATTCCCCCTCCCCCATTGTCAGTGTGGTGACTTTCTTAAATGACCCAAATTTGCTTCTTTTTTTGGGGGGGGGGCGGGGCGCGGCACATATTGGTCATGGGACTTGAACTCAGGGCCTGGATACTGTCCCTGAGTTCTTTTGCTCAAGGCGAGCGCTCTACCACTTTGAGCCACAGCTTCACTTCCAGTTTTCTGGTGATTTATTGGAGATAAGAGTCTCATGGACTTTCCTGCCTGGGCTGGCTTTGAACTGTGATCCTCAGATCTCAGCCTCCTGAGTAGCTAGGATTACAGGTGGAGCCACCAATACCTGGCTTGCCTCTCCCCACCCCCCCATGGAACCTTTCAAGTTCTAATAAGATTGATGCTGTGTCCTAAAAGGAAAATGCACAATTTTAGAACAACTGTTCCTTTGCTGCAGGAACTGGATCAATAAAGACTCCCTGGCCAATGCCACTGGTGAACTTTTATTCATAAAGCATCCTTGGAGTGGAGACAGCTCAGTGACGCTGAGAAAGTCAACAGCTGGCACTGTGTAGTGCAAGGAAACTCACACACCCTCCCCCCAGAGAGGCTGGGGAGCCCCAGGGCGCCATGCTGAAGGCTCTGTCAGCTGGGGAGCCTCAGCAGGAAGCCAGCTGCTACGGCTCGTGGGTGAACACGCGGGGCCGCCCACAGGGCCCCTGCGCTCACGCACACCTGTGCCACCTCCAGAAACGAGCCTCAGCCTCGCTTCCTAGGGACCAGCCCCCCGCCAAGAGCCAGAGGGGGACGAGTCTGCTCATTCTGGGGTACAGCTCTGGCTCCTTCCTGGGCAATGCCCACATGCAGGAAATAAACCTAAGACTGCACATCCCCCCCCCCCCAGCACAGAAGCCACGGGAGCGATGGGCCACTAGCTTAGGCTTGTTCCTGTCTGGCCTGGAGGGTTCTCGCCACACCCCCCGCTGGGAAAGGGGGGGGTACCCTGTGCTCCACACAGGGGTTCTGGGCGGCCTGGGTCTCTGTGCACTCCCTGCCCAGCAGGCACAAATCTGCTCCTCACTCAGCTGACTGCAGGGCCCCCCCCAAAGACACCACTGGATCCCACAAAGGCCACTTGGCCACACAAGACCCCTCCATAGATTCACAGCCACAGGCTCAGGTGCAATTTCCTTAGGGGCTCTGGTTTCCAGGTTCTAGGCCTGGTGTGGGAAAGGCAGAGAAGAGGGGACAGTGGCAGAGGCTGGGAGCGAGGCACCCCGTTAGTGACCATCTCCCCCGTGCCTCCAGCCACAGCATCTGCCATCGATGGGGGGGGGGCATGTGAAGGGCGCCCACCAGCTTCCTTCCGGCCAGCGCCCCTGCGGTGGCCGTGGTCAGGCCTACTCCTGGAGTGGGCCTGGTGACTCCCTGCCACAGGCCGTGCTCCTTCGGAACCCACTGTCATCCTGGCCTCCGGGCCCCGCTGTAGCCTCAGCACCGGACGGGGCCCTGGGCCTCGCGCTCCCGGGACCAGCTGCGGGAGGCCCTGGTGGTGTTGGCCCGAACGGAGATGTGACTCCATCCTCCCTGAAGGGAAAGCCCGGTCAGCAGCGGCCCAGGGACCTACGCGGGCGGGGCTCCTCCCAGCCCCCTCCACCCTGCCCTCCCATGGCCGCTCACCCCGATACCATAGTCCCAGCCCTGCCCCTTGGGCTCGTGGGGTTGCACCCCTGTGCGACGACACACCGTCCCCCGGCTCAGTCCGTGGCTCCCCTGGACTTTGTTAGCGATGACCCAGACCTAGAACACAGGCCAGCTGGAGCCCCCCGGGAGGAGTGCCCACGGCCCCCCACCCCGCAAGTACCAGCATCCCCCGGCGCCCCACCTGGTCCAGGGGCCCCACGGACACGCGGCGCACGTTGTTGGATACGTGCTCCCAGCTGGAGCCCTGCGGGTAGCTGGGCGTGATCCCCCCACGGAACCACAGGTTTCCTACGAGAGATACAGGGCAGTCAAGGTCCACCCTGGCATGGGGTGGCGTCCGGGAAGCTGAGAGTTCAATGCAGCACCCCCTCTGCCCCCCACATCCCTGGGCTCTGGCTGCCCCCACTTGGAGAGCCTGGGCCGCAGCCAACCCTGCGCCTCTCCAGGCTGGGCTTCTCTTGAGCTTCATAATCGTGCCATTGTGGGACACGGGGCTGGCCCGCCGCGCCCTCCTCCACGGGGGTGGAAACTGAGGACAAAGAATGCTTTAAACAAATACCAAGAGAGCCGGATCTGGAAGAAACACTCCAACTTCAAGCCCCACTCCTGTCTTTCCAACCCATCTCCTTATCTGTGCCCCATGGCCAGGGACCAGAGCCCTGAGGCTACGTAGCTCTGTGCTGCCCAGGGGCCTGCATTTCACACCTGCATGGAATCTTCTAGAAGATGCTCCCTGTGCAGGCCCTTACCAAGATGGGTCACCCCCGCATTGATGCTGTGGGCTCAGTTGACAGGTGGGACAAGAACCTGTCCCCTGGGCACAGGCAGGGCTGGGTCCCCCACCCTGGGTCACTGGAGGAGGTTGGGAATTTCCCACTCCACCTTGGTCTTGGCCAGTGCAGGAGTCATTCGACAGAGGCCCAGCAGGGAGGTTAGACCCCCCCCCCAGCCTCTGTGTGGCCTGCTGGCCATCACACTGGGGTGTCCGGGGAGCCCCACTATGCAGCAGTGGACATGACTTGCCGTTCTCATCCAGGGCGTACACAGATGTGTGGCCGACGGACACCTGCACCAGCCTCTGCTTGGGAGGGGACGGGATGTGGTACCAGCAGTCACCTGTGACAGGACAGCTGGCTAAGGAGGCTGCGGGACCGCGGGGGCCTGCGCCATGCTCACTGTGGCCATGTAAGCATGTGACCGGGGCCACAAAGAGCCACCAGGCACTCTGAGTCACCAGGCACTGGTGATTCATGCCTGTCATCCCAGCTACTCAGGAGGCTGAGATTTGAGGATCATGGCTCAAGGCCAGCCCAGCAGGAAAGCCCATGAGACTCATCTCCAATAAAAAGCCAGAAGTGGCTTGGGTGGTTGAGTGCTAGCCCTGAGTGACAATTCTAAGGGACAGCACCCAGGCCTTGAGTTCAAGTCCAAGGACCGGCGCACGCGCGCGCGTGCACGCACACACACATACACACACAGACAATGCGAGCCCCAACATTCTCTCACACACAGCCTCACACCGCCTCTGGGGGCCGTGGTGGGTTCTGACAGGTGCAGTGGGCCCAGTGTACAGCTGGCCTTGGTGGTTAGCCTTTAAACCCACTGTTATGGGGGGCACCAGCTACCCACATACTCATTGAGGGGCAGCCAGGAGCCCAGTCTAAACACCCTGAAAAAAAACCAAGCCAGCACAGGGCCTGACGGGGACATCCCAGTGAGGCTCAGTGACAGGAAGTGGCCTGCGGGGGGGCTGCCCACTGGCTTCCCAGACACGCCCCTCCAGATGACCTCTCACCGTTTGGAGGCCTTGTAGATTTGGGGGCAGCACTCACCAGCCGGCTGGGAGGGGGACACGGAGCCGCGGTAGAAGGCAGAGCCATCCCTGGCCACAGCCCACACTTGGTAGCAGGCTCCAATGGACACAGAGGCGAAGGGCTGGTCGGTGCCCACGTGCAGCCAGGAGGAGCCCTGGAGGAGATGGCAGGGAGCTGCTGAACCCTGTCACAGCACCAGGCTGGGGGGATGACACTGAGGTACAGGATGCCAGGGGGCGGCCCTGGATCATGTAGACCAGGCCTGGCCTGACTCAGTAGACTGAGCCCGGCCTGACTCAGCCCTGAGTGTGGTCTGAGCCCCACCCATGGCTGAACCCCTGGGAAAGTAACCATGTGCACCTCACCAAGGGCACCATGTCACCTAGGCCTGGCTGTCCCACCACTACCCATGCCCCAGTTCCCAAGAAAGGGTAGCTTGAGCCCAGCGCTGGTGGCTCATACCTGTAATCCCAGCTACCCAGGAGGCTGAGATCTAAGGATCTCAGTTCAAAACCAGCTCAGGCAGGAAAGTCCACGAGACTCTTATCTCCAATGAACCACCAGAAAACCAGAAGTGGTGCTGTGGCTCCAGTGGTAGAGCGCTAGCCTTGAGCAAAAGAGCTGAGGGACAGCGCCCAGGCCCTGAATTCAAGACCCATGACCGACAAAAAGAAAAGGCAGCAGCGGTGCCAACCTCATTCCCAATGCCAGCCACCCTGGGGGACCCAGTGACCCCTTTAGGCCACATGGGGTGCCTGCATCCTCAGGGACCCAAGCAGGCCTTGGGGACAGCTGAGCGTGGCCAGGCTTCAGGGCAGAAGTGGCGAGCGGCGACAGCGCTCACCGCAGGATTGAGCTCGGACACACCCAGGCGACACAGCACGTCGCCCTTGTCACTGACAGCCCACAGGGCAATGCTGTGTCCCTGCCCCTCCGTCTCAGGGCATGCTGGGATGATGGACACGTCTCCGAGCGCGATGGGGGCCACCTCCAGCCAGGGCCCGCTGGTCACCAGTTTGCATTTTCTGTGCAGGGAAAAAGACAGCGAAAGGCTCAGAATCCAAGTGTGACCGCCAGCCCCAGGAGCCAGTGCTGCCAGGCACCCAGGGAGGGAGGGGGGACAATGCGGCCCCTCCCCCAGGCCAGCCGGACCTCCTCCTACCTGCCCAGAACCTGCCAGGGACAGTTTTTATTTGTTCTAGAGAACAAACTGCAGAAACCAGAGCACCGGAGCCTGCGGGCATTTCCTGGGCTGACATTTACCTTGACTCCACTTTCCTCCCCTCCCTACCTTCCTTCCTGGGGACTGAGGTCAGAGGCTAGCTTGCAGGCCCCAGGCCCCTCCCCACTCCACAGGGGGAGGGGCTTCCTGACGGCCAGGGGATGCCATGGCCTGACCCCCCAACTGCCACGCTTGGGCCCCTCACCTGGCCCAACACCTTCTCCTGACAAAGTCCTTCATGGTTTTGTAGCCGTGGTATGAGCTGCAAGAGGAAGAGGTGGCGAAATCAAGACCACTTCGTGGAAGTTTCTGGAAAGCGATGGACACTGCACCCATTCTTTTCCCAGCTGGGACCGGGCAGAGCTGTGGGGTGGGGCCCGGGGTCAGAGGAGCAGCTATGGTGGCCCAGGACGTGGATGTCCCTCCAGGGTGGCTGCCAGGCCTGCAGCTTGGCGCTCCTGGGACCAGGCGGGGTGAGGCTGGGGGGGGGGGCTCTGTGCACTCCCCTTTCCAGGCCCCCCACAGGGCTCTTCTGGGGAACAAGAGCCATGAGCCCCGCTGAGGGCTGGAAGGGGAGTGCAGAGGCCTGGTTACAGCCTGAAGGCGACCTCAAAAAGCCTAGCATCGGTGGCTGCCCCTCCTCCTTGCGGGCGTCACCCCGAGGCACCCACTTGGGGCCTGGCTCAGGCTTTTCTGGTTCACCTTCCAAGTAGCCGTGACTCCTGTAAGGGGCCACACAGCCCGCCCCAGGCCAGGCCTCCCCAAGCCTCCCCCCTCCCCCCCCTCCTGTCCTCACCACCTGTCACTCAAGGCCTGGCCTAAACCCCCAGGTCCTCCAAAGCTGACCAGGGCCCTGATACCTCCTGTGTGTCACATAGGCCTGGGCCCTGAACTCCTAGGAGGGGACACTTACGCGGGAAAGTCACTGGCATACTGCCATCCTTCCTGGTCAGTGCCACCCGGGGTGCTGAAGTCCACAGACCAGTCAGAGACCTACGGGGGGAGCAATGAGACCAGGACTCCCTCCCGAAACGCACAGTCCAGCCAGCAACATGAGGAGGGGAGGTGGGCAGGACCCCCCCTCCCGCCCAGGCGGGGTAGCAGGCTCACCCAGGTCCACTGCAGGGATGGGGGCTTCGTGCCGGCCTTTGTGCACTCCTGAAGCCCCGAGGCATCGCTCCACATGGGCCGGTCGGTGGGCAGACCCCTGTGGTGGGAAGACAGCTGTGGGATGCTACCAACCCTGGGGAGCAGGCTTGCACCCCATCTCAGCAGGGCTGAGCAAGCTCAAGGCCCTGAGTTCAAGGCCCAACACTGGCCAAAGGAAAAGAAAAAGGAAGCCAGGCACTGGTGGCTCATGTACGTACGTAATCCTAGATACTCAGGAGGCTAAGCTCTGAGGATCGCAGTTCGAAAAACACCCAGGCAGAAAAGCCCCTGAGACACTTATCTCCAATAAACTACTCAGAAAAGGCCACAAGTGGCACTGTCCCAGGACGACCAAAAAAAAAAAAAAAGTTTCTCAGAGGGGCTGGATCTGGTGGCTCACGCCTGAAATCATAGCTACTCAGAAGGCTGAGATCTGAAGGTTGTGGTTCAAAACCTGTCCTTACAGAAAAGTCTGTGAGACATATATCTCCAATAAACCACCAGAAACTGGAAGTGGCGCTGTGACTCCAAGTGGTAGAGTGTTTGCCATGAGCAAAAAATGCTCAGGGACAATGCCCAGGCCCTGAGCTCAAGCCCTATAACCCCCCTCCCCCCAAAAAAGAGAGAAGTTTTTCGAGTATTTTTTTGCCGATCGTGGGGCTTGAACTCTGGGGTTGGGCACTATCCCTGAGCTCTTCAGCTCAAGGCGAGCGCTCTACTGCTTGAGCTACCATTTCTGGTTTTCTAGTGGCTTATTGGAGATAAGAGTCTCACAGACTTTCCTGCCTGGGCTGGCTTTGAACCATGATCCTCATATCTCAGCCTTCTGAACAGCTAGGATTACAGGCATGAGCCACAGGCACCTGGCTTCTCAGGGGGATTTCTGTCTCTAATTTTATATAGAGATAAAAATTCCCTCAAGTCCCAATTGGACCACATCTCTTAGGACAGCTGAAGTCCCCACAGGGTTACCTAGTATGCATGGGGCCCACCAGGAAAAAAGAAAAGAAACAAGTCAGCCACAGACTAGCACCCACCCATATACCACTACGTGCCCCCCCCTCGCCCCCGTAATCCAAGTAACACCAACACTGTATTAGAAATTGGGATCTGGTGTGAGTGAGGAGGAGGAAGATATGGGCTGGACTTGGCAAAGTTGTTTCTTGGTGTTTGTTTCCTTTTCCTGGTCGTGGGGCTTGAACTCTGGGCCTGGGCGCTGTCCCTCAGCTCTTCAGCTCAAGGCGAATACTCTACTACTTGAGCCACAGCGCCACTTTCGGTTTTTCAGGTGGTTTATTGGGGATAAGAGTCTCACAGACTTTCCTGCCTGGGCTGGCTTTGAACTGTGATCCTCAGATCTCAGCCTCTAAGTAGCTAGGATTACAGGCGTGAGCCACCGGTGCCCAGCAAATTTTTTTTTGGTCGTGGGGCCTGAACTCTGGGCCTGGGCGCTGTCCCTCAGCTCTTCAGCTCAAGGCGAGCGCTCTACCACTTGAGCTACAGCGCCACTTC